AAATGGGGTTAATAATTCCCGCCTAGAAGGGGAAATGTTGGGGTTCTCCCCCCCCACAACAGGGCAAGAGCATCCCCATTGCTCCACTTCTCAAGTAATCATCATGACCATTTATTGAGGTTTTAGTACATGCCAGGAGCTGTCCTAAGTGTTTCACATGGACCAATTCATTAAATTCTCCCAGCAACACTACTACTGTCTCCACGAGTCGTTTGCACAAAGTCGGCAGCTGGTGAATGGGGAACCTGAGCACTGGAACAACTCGAGTCTGACCACAGGCAAGGGTTGAGGGAAACGCAGATGCTCTTTGGGATACTTTACAGCCACTAAACATGCTGTTTGTCAACAGTTTGTTGTGATGTGGGAAGGCTTATACGATGATAAGTAAAAAAGTTATATAAAACTATGTGGAATATAAAAAATCTATACACATGGCCAAAAGATGGGAAAGAATACAGTTGTTAATGGTGTTTATCTCTGGGTAACAGGATTGTGGATGACTATAATTTTCTTCTTTGTATTTTTCCACAGTGTAGGTATATTATTACTTTTATAATCAGGAAATAAGTCATGGTATAAAAGACTGGTGTAGACCAGTTTGGGCAGCAGACAGTGAATCCCTTACTCTTCTCTTCCAGATCTCTGAGAAGTATGGGTTCCCTGAGGAGAACATTCACAAAGTCTACAAGAAATGCAAGCGGGGGTAAGTGCCCAGGACAGCTCTCCCTCCCCACCCTGCCCCTCTTCCTCTAAAACGGTGGCTCAGGGAGCTCCCAGCGGGCTCGCTCTGCTCTGCAGAGACCTGCTGCTCAGTGCTGAGCACTGTTTGTCCTTGGCTTCATGGAGAGGATATGCAGTTGGGTGGAGAGCCCCCAACAGGCCAAGGCCACCTGCAGAGACCAGACATTGACACAAAAGGAGAGGAGTGGGACACAGATGGAAGGGTCTTTATGGACCACCTCCTCAGGTGGAGGGGGACGTGCAGAGCCACGAGTCAGAAGGCTCGGTTCAAGTCCCAAGGCCAGTGGATAACCAAGTCATTTGATTCTAACGATAAAGATAGTAGTGACTACCATTCACTCGACCCCCTACTATGTGTCAGATACCGGGCTAAGCATATCTCATTTAACCCTGAGGTAGATACCATTCCCCACACTTCGCAGATAGGGAAACTCAGGCTCAGAGGTGATGAGCAATGTTCAAGGGTAGGAGCAACAGAGTAAAGGCATGGAGGCAGGGCCCAGCAACAATGCTGCTGGCTGAGTCGGGGGCCTGTGAGGGGGGTGGATGGCGATGGGTCTGGAAAGGGAGTTGTGATTGGTGTGGTTTTGAGGTAGGCCCGCCATGCATGCTCCACAGGCCACCTCCACCTTCAGGTCTGGCCCAGGTGGGAGGGAGTAAAGCTTTACCCTCAGGGGGCTGGGCAGTGCCTGCCACCCACCATGGGCTCCTGGGGACTAGTGCCAGGACCACAGCACCCTTTGCTATCTGCCCAGGAGATCCCTTGGCGGAGGGAGGCCATAGGCCACATGGTGACTGCCCTCCCGGGCTTCAGTCCCCTGGCCGGAGCCAGGGAGCTGGGCCCCTGCAGCCCTTGCTAACCAGGTCACTTCACCAGCCCGGCATGGGGCTCCCAGGGAGTGAAGGTCCTAGAGGACCTGGTCCTAGAGGACCAGGACTAGGGCTCTGGGAAACACCCCAGCCCCCTTGCCCATAGCCCAGACCGCAACTTCCTGCTCTGGACAGTCTACCTCCAGCTACACTCACTAGCTGCCCCTGGAAGGTGCTCAGGCATTGCCCTGTGGATATTGTCTGTGGACTTTACTTTTTAGAAGAAGGCTTTGCAAAGTGAGGCAGGTTTTGTACTGGGGCAGAGGCCCCATCCAGTCTGGCCCAGGGGCTGCCTTGCCCTCACAGCCTGGCCCTGCCTCCCTCCCTCCCTCCCCTCTGGTTCCCATCCCGCCTCCCACAGAAGGGCAGGGGCGGGGCAAGGTGTGCGGCCCTGCAGCCCCTGGGAAAGGATCCGTTTGGTTTTGGTTGTATGAGTGTCTAGGGTTTTCTTTGTGTTTTTTTTCTTCCAAGTTTCGGTTTCAAACCGGGGCTCACACGCTCTCTGGAGCGGAATCCACCTCATAGCGGAGGGCAGGCTCTGCTTTGCCCAGACAAGCCCAGCCTCACTTCCCCTTCCGTGCCAGTGCCCACGCCCCTGGCTGCAGCCCCACCTGCAGCTGGCCTTCCTACAGACCCCACCACAGGCTGCACTGAGGGGCTGAGAAATGCCTCATGTATGACTGGGGGCCAGGAGGGGGTCTGCATATAAGGCTGCCCCACCGGCAGAATTGCAAATCATTCCCTTAAGCCCAGCCAGCTATTTAAATCATAATTATAATAACTTCCATTTGTGAGCACTTCCTACATGCCAGACACTGAGCTGAATAACTCCCAGGCATCATCTCACTGACCCTTTGAGTTTGGTACGATTATCTCCATTTCTACAGATGAGGAAACTGAGGTTCAGAGTAGTCCCAGGGTCTCAGAGTTAGTAACTGGCAGAAGAGTCCTGGCCTGTGTCAAGCCTGTGCACACACCCACTATTTCATCCTGCCTCCTGCTTGTTCCTCTAACCGCTAAGCAGTGTGCAAATAAAGGCCGCGGCTAGGCTGGCCCATTTATTTGCCCAGCCTCATAGCCCAGGGCATCACTCAGCGGCCCTTCAGAGGCACCCCACACCCTGTACACACCCCCAACCATGAAAACCTCAGGTCCAGGATTGTCCGAAGTGCCTAACTAAGAAGAGTCCCCGAAAACCTTCGGGCGAGGAGAGGCCAGACTCACTTGCCGCCTCCCTCAGCGTAGCTCGCCCCTCATCTGAGGCAAGGGAAATGCTAGTCAGTGGCCTAGTGTATTTCAGAACTCTCCTGAAAGTCCTCTGGACAAAGGCAGATACAATCAGCTTTACAAGCACCACTGAGGGCCTGAAAGATGAACAAATACATTGCTTTTGCTGGCCACGTGCCAGGGGTTTCATGCGAGCCAGGACAGAAGACAGCCGGGAGCTGGCAAGTCACAAGAGGCTGCGCGGCTGGGACCGCGGTTCCTGACAAGCCCCCGCCTCCAGGGCCCAGTTGTCGTGGACCTCTCAGGGAAGGGGTCTGTGGGCCCGTCTGGGGTCCCTGTGCATAGACATGCACTCTGGGCCCACGAAGAGGCCCTGCCTGGGGGCGGGGGAGGCGGCCGTCAAGTTGGTGCATGTCCGGCTCTTACACGGGGCCCAGCACCCAGCAGCACCCAGTGAATGCCGCCACATGAAACAGACAGAAAACCCCGACGCTGACAAAGCGCCCACCCTCTGCCCCAGCCCTGGGCTCCTGTGGTCCGTTCCCAGCCTGCGGCCCTCAGACAAAGGTCCCTCTGTGACACAAAGGAACTGCAGACAGACCCGAGCAAGTGGGGTCCTGTAATGAGACGCTGGCCGTCAGCACCCGGGCCTCGAGCCTGAGCCGGACCTCCTTCCAAAAGCAGCAGCTGCTCCACGCTGCCGCGGAGGCAACTGGATATGGGCCACAGGCTTCGGCCTACGCTGTCTCCACCGTCCCTCCCTACCCAGGGATGGGGGACAAGGCTACCGCCTCCCCTCTGGGGTCTTTACCCCCCACTTCTGCCTGACGTAAAACAATCTCGCCCTCATCTGAACTCTCCCACAGCCCTGGATTTTGCCTTCCTTGTGTATGCCACTTCCTAACGTGTATTTATAGGGTTTTGTTCATTTTTTTCTAAAAAAAATGATACCGTCCAAAGAGACAGAAGTCTGGATTCAAATCCCAGCTCTGCCCCCTATTAACCGTGTGACCCCAGGCACATGACTTTGCTTCTTTGAACCTCAGCTTCCGCGTCTGTGAACTGAGTAATATGGTTATAAGAATTCGTCCTCCAAGTCCCTACTAGATTCTCAACTCCTGGAGGGCAGGTGTAGGATCTCTGAATGGCCCTTGTTTTTGTTTGGAGCAAGGCCCTGTGCATGGAAAGGCCTCAGCAAATGCTAGTGGGGTGAATGGATGAAAAGACCCAAATCCAGAGGGACAGCCTACCAAGGGAGAGCTGATGTGATCAGGTCAGGTCACATCTCCACGGGTCCTTCATCAGGGAGGCAGCTCCTAGAGAGGTGCCCTTTGGCACATACCCTGGCTTTGACCCCCTGCAGAGGGCCACAGCTGTGGAGACTCTGTCTTCTCAGGTTAGCCCCAGTCCTTACCTGAAGAGTATGGGGAAAGAGAGAGAGCCAAGCCCCCCAAGTCTATTGCACCATCCCCGAGATTTCAGCCTCATGGAGACGGAACTGAGAGGGGGCAGGCACAGCTGAGTGACACATCACAGCCTCCTGCTGAACCCAAACCGCACCGGTCCACCCACCACACCTCTTGCACTTGAACTCACACTCCATGTCCGAGTCCTCAGTCTGGCCTGGTGACTAAGCACTGCATCTCCTGCAATCTACACATTCGTTGCTCAAAAGTGTCCATCTTCTTGTGCGTTAGGAGAGGCATCTGGTGCAGTAGGTGACGTGGTACCAGCAGGCCTGGGTTTGAGTTGTGGCCCGACCATGTGGGTGTGGTGCCTTCCCTGGAAAGCAGGACAGTGAGCACCCACCTGACAGGGGGTGATGAGAGTCAGAGAGCAAGTCTGTGAGGTGCCTGAACTGTGTGGGCACCGATAGTTAGTAACCATTTACTGTCATCCTTGTCGCTGAGAGGGCCTGAGAACAGGGGCCTGCCACGTTCTAGCCACGTCTCTCTTCTCTTCCAGAATCTTGGTCAACATGGACAACAACATCATTCAGCATTACAGCAACCACGTCGCCTTCCTGCTGGACATGGGGGAGCTTGACGGCAAGATTCAGATCATCCTTAAGGAGCTGTAAGGCCCGAGTGTCCACACCCTCAGACCCCCTGGGGGAGGCTCCAGGCAAGGAGCCAGCTGGGCAGAGGCCCCATGCCACACACAACCTCTCCTCATGCCTCAGTGCCGTTACTTGAATGCCTTCCCTGAGGGAAGAGGCCCTCGAGTCACAGCCCCACAGATGTCAGGGCCAGGGCCAGACATGGGAGGCGTCCTGATCCGAACCTCCATCTCACGCTTGAATCCACTCTGCACTTCCGGCCAGTGCCTGTCCAGCCAGAGACGGTGTCATCTTGGTCAACATGCCCAACAAACTGTTTCCTCCTCAGAAGACCCTTTTCTGCAGTTGATCTCCTGTGGGCTGCCTGTTCAGACGGCGGAAGCAGACCCACTCTTGATTCTTCCATCAACTTCAGACCAAGGATTTCTCACCTTTTGGTCAGTTAACTTGAAAACTCTTGATTTTCAGTGCAAATAACTTTTAAAAGACACTATAGTGGAAACACTCTCTTCCTCACGGACTTCCTAAATGCAAGATGTAAATAATAGAGCTGATCAACTAGAACAAAGTGGCCGCTGCGTAAACGACCGCCAGGCCCTCTCACTGTTGTATACATTTCTTATTTACAGTTTTCATTTATGTTATATATATATAAGTATATATTGTATATATATGCAACATTTTATATTTTTCATGGATACATTTTTATCATTTCAAAAAATGTGTATTTCACATTCCTTGGATTATTTTTTTTAGCTGTTATTCAATTATGCATTTTGTTTACTGCTATGGTATTTAGTAATAAAATTCCACCTATGTATTACTTCAAATGCTACCCTTGTTCCTTTTGTGAAAGTCTTCTGGAGAGAAAGGGTGAGAGCAGACCAGGCCTCTCTCCTCTCTGTCCTGTGAGCGGTGGGCCCAGGACTTGAAGGACGGTGGTAAGTGCTGTGCACTGGTGAAGCACAGGTGCCTACCCGGAAGGCAGCAGAATCCTGGTGCTCAGATCTCTGTTCTGTGCAGTCCCCCAGGCTGAATGGTATGACTTTAGGATCATTGACTGGAGATGAAGAAGTCCCGGGAAGGGTCCAGGAGAACTGCACTGGGGCCAGTGGGTAGAGCCCAGGGCTGGGAGCCGTGTGACAACTCTGTTTTGTGTCAGCTTTGCCCCCACGCTCTCAGACAAGTCACTTTCCCTGCAGCCAGCTCCTGCTGGCTCCTACCAGCTCACAAAAGTGACTGTGCCCATCTCTTCCCAACGTGCGGTCAGTGACATCATGTTGGTGCATTGGTGGGGGAGTATTTACACCACGGGAATTGACAAATGCTACAAATCAAGGCCTTTATTTCCCCCAGAGAACAAATCACAAATCATGCCTTCCTTCCCTCCTTCCCTCCCTTCTTTCCTTCCTCCCTCCCTCCCTTCCGTCCTTCTTTCCTCCCTTCCTCCCTTCCTCCCTTCCCTGGCTCACCAGCACACCACCACCTCTAGCCCTCAGTTTCTTTGGCTATAAAATGAGGGGCATGGTCTACATGGGTTATTTGTAACTATCACCTTCAGGGCCCCAGGGTACATTGGTGGGTCTCAAAGGCCAGGGGTGATGTGGGGGAGGGCACAGCCGGCAGTCCCTGCGTGTCCCCCCGACTTCAATCACAGCACCTCTGCTTTTCTCCATTTATATACTAGGGTTTCTTGTAAACTTTCGTCTGAACAAAACTTAAAAAAAAAGTTTGAAAACCATGGATGTCTCTAAGGGCCCCCCAGCTCTGCTGGTCAGAGTCTAGGGTCCTATTTCCCAAGGCCCTGCCAGGGGTCAGGACCGGGACTAGGATCAGGCAAGTGAGGCACCAGCCTCAGGGGCAAGAATTAAGAGAAGCCAAAGAGCTCAGTGATCAAGATAAATCACAGTTCAATGCAATGTTTTTTAATAAGGTAAAAAAACTCCATAATGAACAAAATATCAAAACTTTGAAGCCAGGATCAGTATTACAGAAGTTTCCTTTGGCCTCAGGCTCCACTATGGCTTGCCTGCACTGCTCGAGGGACCCCGTGGAGCACCCAGAGTGGCGGGTGAAATGATGGAGTGGGTGCAGGGTACCGGCACACTGCCAGGCACACCCGAGGGGCTCAGCATCCGTTCACGTCCCTCCCCCTCAGCTTCCTGCCAGCTCCCGGCCCCCACCCCCAGCCGGCCGGGAAGCAGCAAGGTGGTGGGTCTCAACCTTGATTGCACAGTGGAATCACCTGGGCAGCTTTTAGCCCCACCCCAACGCCCTCCACACTCCCTGCCCACTGCCCAGACCCACCCCCCCACCGCTCTGGATTTATCAGAATTTTGGGGGGTGGGGCCCAGGCCTCAGTACTTTTTAAAGCCCCCCAGGTGATTACAATGTGCAATCAAGGTCGAGAACCACTGCTCTAAAGAGGCCATAACTATACAGGCCTCGAAGGCTTTATAATCTGCCATTATAATCTTTATGATCGGGCTGGATTAATACACACAAGGAACTACAGTATCAGCGCAAGCCTGCTGCAGAGCTCAGCAAAGGAGCCAGCAGCTCCCCACGCACCATACCTCCCGCAGCCTCCCACAAAGAGAAATGGCCACAAAGAGGCCATTTCTCTTCCCCTCCACATGAAGAGACGCGAACTGTCAATGCCTAGGAAAGCCACTGCACCTTGAAGAGAGCCCTGCAAGCCTGGAGGAGAGTCAGGCCTGGCCTCAGAGAAGGGCAGGGAGAAAAGAGCGGGTCCTGAGCCCCACGGCTGTCATTCCAGGACTGTCTTTCACTCCAAAGTGTGAAAAGGTGAAAGGAGTGACAGTCAGTCCTTTCAAACAGGGAGTCACTTTAGAAAGGCAGCTGCTGGCTGGTGGAGAGAGCGGCCCCTGCCTCAGGTAGCTTGTGCCTAGTAGACGTACAGCGAGTGAGTGAGGGGAGAAAGGGATGAACGAGGAGAGAGGGAATGAATGGATAAATGAGGGAATGAGGAGGAGGAAGGGAGGGAGAGAGGGAGGGAAGGAGGAGGGAGGGACGGAAGGAGGAAGGAAGAGAGGGAGGAAAGGAAAAAGAGAAGGAGGGAAGGAGGAAGGCGGGAGGGAGGGAGGATAAGTAGGTCAACAAGCAGACAGAAGGACAGATGAAGAGTTGAGCAATTAACTACTTATCAGACCCTGCTACTCTGTGTGGTCCATGGACCAGCAGCATCAGCATCGCCTGAGAGCTTGTTAGAAATGCTGAAACCCAAAACTAATACAATGTTATATGACAATTATCTCGATTTTAAAAAAAAGAAAAAGAAATGCAGATTCTCAGGCCCCACCCCAGACCTACAGACTCTGCCTTTTGCCAAGATCTCCAAGTGATCCGCATGCACATCAAAATTTGGAAAATACTTTATTAAACTATCAGTGTATCCTAACCCTAACTAGACACATTATAATCTCACTGAGAACTTTAATCAAGACAGCAATGCCCAGAGCCTACGTCAGATCAATTAAATCAGAACCTTGAGGGTCGGGGCCTGGGCGGGCTGTCTCCATAACAGCTCCCGGGGTGATCCTAATGTACAGCTGGGGCTTGAGAACCACTGGGCTGGACGGAGCTGTGAGGAGCCTACGAGATCTTGAGAGAGGCTGGATACAATCAAGACAGAGCTTCTGAGCTCAGGGCCTCAGACATAGTCTATAGAACATAGACTCTGACTGGCCAAGGGCAGCCCTGCCATTCTCTTCCCAGAGTCCTCTTTTTCCTGACCCCACTAGGAAGGGGCTCCTTCTGGAAAGACAGACTTCACCTGCTGATGCTCAGCCCAGCTGCTCACGAGGAGGAGAGGCCTGTCTTGTTTTCCGATGCATCACCCCCAGCCTCTGCCCGCAGTGACCCCAGGGCCAGCTGCTTCCAGCCCAGTGGTCTGCTAAGGCCCCCCAGGATCAGAGGGACCTAAAAACCAAGGCCTTGGGGTCTGGCCCCATTGTCAAGAGTCTGGGGTCAAAGAAAGGTATAGCTTCAAGTGTCAGCTTTAAGAGGGGTTTCCAGAACTTCTAGCACCCATTGGACAACTAACGGCCTGCAGAAGAGTTTCTTTTAGCCTGAACAAAGAATTTTAAATTGAAATGTGGTTGTGAACGTCTCAAATCTAGAGATTTCAATTTTAAAGATTTCCCCGATTCTGTTGACGAATCTGCAGATCTGGCAGCAGTTAGCTGGAGCCACGCTGGACGCACCCTGAGACAGGCACAGCCGCGGCTTCCGGACCCCCATCCCCGCCTCACTGTTTGCTCCGTGCGTTGCCCGCCCAGCCCCTGCAAGTGCTTGACCTTGAGCCCCTGAGTTCTAATCCGACTCCTCACCTCGAGGAGAAGCTACGGACCTGAGCACAAGACGTCCTGCCTTTAGGTCGAGACTTCGTTGCTCCTTGCACAGTGCTCTGGGCCGCCTCCCACTCATGCCGAAGCAATGGGGCGCATGCGGGAACCTGAGCTTCACAAAAAGGCCAGCTTTTGTGAGAAGTGAGAATTCAGTTTAATTGGGTATGTTATTCCATCCTTCTCCCTCCCTCTTCCTCACTCACCCCTCCCCAGAGGGAGAGCCAATAAGAGGCCAGTTCTGACAGGGTGTCACCTTCACAGAGGAAAGTCAAAGGAGGGAGCCAAGAGGAAGGAAGTGGAGGGGAGACTGCACAAGACACCTCCACTGACAAAGGGAAGACAACATTGATGTTTGGGGCAGGAGGAGACGTGTGGTGACTTCCATTTCCTCTTGGTTCTTTGGGAATCTCTTCCTCTTTCCAAGAGGAAATGATTTGGCAGGCCAGAAAAGATCCATTAAAGATTGTGTTAAACTTGAGCCAGAGGTTGGGCAGGGGATGGAGACAGGCCGGGGAAGGAGAAAGGTCGGGTAAAAGTAAGCAACTGCAGGCCCAGGCTGGCGCGTGGCCACCCTGCCCCTGAGGACCGTGGTTTCCAGGACTCTGGCTCCAGCAGGGTCCTGCCCACATCTGCTGTTGAATACAGATCCAACACACGGATGTGGCGGCCTCCCCCGAACGTGGGTAATGAGCACGGTGACCATGGGGACTGGCTGCCATGCTCTTCCTGAAGGTGAGACATGAAGGCTTAGCTGGCGGAGGGCCCAGGCAACCCCTTCGTGTCTCTGCCACAAGCGCCTCTGGGCCTTCCTGGCTCCTGGAACTGCAAGTCAAGGCCAGAGGACAGGAGCGGGCCTGGCCGCAGCCCTGTGCTGTCCACCCTGCGGGTGCTCTCTGCGCCCCAGAGCCCCAGCTCAGCATCAGGCTTCTAGACGGGGCATCTGCCATTGTCTGCCTTCTCCCTGGAGTCTGAGCTTCAGGAGCCCCTAAGCCTGAGGGGAGGGGCCAGAAGCCAGCCTGGATGGGTGCAAGACGAAGTAACCAAAGGAGGCTCTGTCCACTCCTTATTCCTGCTCAGGAAAGCCCTGGAGTCTGCAGGAGTGGGGTCCAATCTCCAGGAGGCAGCTCAAGACAAGGACAACACAGCAGCCCAGCCGTCACAGCAGGCTGGGCTGGCAGAGCTGCCCGCACGCCATCAGCTGTGGCACACGAAATAGGCATTCTCTGAATGAATGTCCCGGGAAGCCTGGCCGGGCAGCTGGTGGCCAGGGTTCCCGGAGCTTGTGTGAGGTCACTACGGCACTGGGATCCACTTGTCGTCCTCGTTGTAGAGAAAGGACTGCTTTCCTGGGAATTCCGGCTTGTACGTGGCTGTGAGGAGAGACAGAGAGAGATGGCATTAACAGAGGAAGGGCCAGCTGCTCCTGTCGCTGGCACTCTACATCGGAGCTGGCAGGGCCCGTGGGACCTGTCCCAGCCCCTGCATCTTACATGTGGGGAGACAGAGGAGGGGACTGGCCCGAGGTTATACGGCTTTTGACCGGACTCGAACTCCAGCTTCCCACATTCTTTAACTCATCTTAACTTCAACAGGAGAAAATTTACAAAAGAGTTTTCTATGAAATTTGAAAAAAATATTGAGTAAAGCAATACTCTTAAAGAAGCAAGGGGTCAGTTTGGCGGGGTTTTGTTTTGATTTAGTTCAGAAATTTCCAGAGAAGTGAAGCCATGACAACAGCAGGCACAGTTCCCTAGGAGACCAGCCGCCAAGACCACACAGGGCTTGGGAACCACAACCTGGGGTGACTAGACACTCTCTTATTGACTCTGAATCAGTTAAGGAGAGTCCATGCACTGTTGCTGTACCCGGAAAGCTGCTGATGGGAGCACATGGTGGTCCAGGGAGACCTGCACCCACTGGAAGCCGAGAAGGCAGATGTTTGTATGTGCGTAAGCCCAGGAGGCCCCGTTTGGCGCAGGTGATCACAGCAGCAGGAACTGGCCTACACCTGTGTGCCGGGTGCCCCTCGCCATGCTCAGCATGGAGAAGACTCTCAGAAACAGCTCCTAGAGGCCAGGGCCAGACAGGGTCAGATGAGGTACATTGGCCGAACCAAACCGAGTTCTGCCTGGACTGACCGGGTGACCCCAAGGTCAAACCTCTGCAGTCTTGGCTTGATTATGGCTGCATTTCCAAGGCGGAAGCTCTGAGAATGACTTTCTCCCCGTCTTTACTCACCTGTGTGTTTGGGGGGGAAGGTGTCTCCCCTACCAGATTGATGCCTCTGGGGGCAAGCATGGGGCCTAAGTCTTCTTTGTCTCCCTAGGGTGGGAGCATCATCAATGCTCATTCAAAGATCGAATTTAACAGACCCGCAGCCACCTCAGCTCTGCCTTCCTCCTCCCACGCCACCTGCCCACCTGTGAGTCCCCAATGCCACCAGCTCTGGCCAATGTTGGGGGGTGGTAATTAGCTAAGGGGCTCCATAGAGAGCTACAAATAGGTTGGGGAGTACAGAGACCACCCACCGGAGGGAGACCCTCATGCTATTAGCTCTCAGGGAGATCCCAGTGGTCATGAGATCACTGCTTATGCTCACCTGTGAAAAGGGGATGGACCTGGATGGCTTAAAGAGCTGCTCCAGTAGACAGGCCCTGGGTTTATTTCAGGACAAACGAGGCATAGAGGGGAAATAGCCTGGCGCTCTGCCCTGCCGCTTGCTCACTGTGGATCTGTGGACACCTTGCTCTGTAGGCCTTCCCCGTTTGCCAATTGACTTGGCCAGACTAGACCAGTCATTTAAACATTTTTAAGAACACGAACTTTTTTGACAATCTGACAAAAGCTATGGCCCCTTTCGCCAGAAAATAATGTCTGCATGCTCCAAATCTGCAGACAATTTCAGGGTCACAGACCCCCTGGGGCCTGTCTTTGAGCCTCTGGAACATTCCTGGTCATCGGTTATGAATCCCTGGCCTGGATCATCTCTAAGAGCCCTTTCACCTTAAACACACACACACACACACACACACACACACACACACACACACAGACACAGAAAATGTAAGCTGAGAAGTCTTCTAGATCTACTGTAACCCCTGTAAACTGTTTGGCAAACAGCCTGTAAATCAGTGGCATTTGATGGCCCAGGAATGACAAACACTTCCAGATTTGGTTTTTACAACCATTTAGAACAATCCTCTGACCTGGGCCAGGCAGGCCTGGCTGGGCCGGCGCCGCTGTCCACCGGCTGGTGTTGGACATGAACGGGGCACTAGAGAGGAAAAGCTTGGGAGGCCCCACGTAGTCCACGATCTCGTACTGACCAGGGCCCGGTAGAGGCGGCTTCGGGGGCAGAGGCAAAGGCTTGGCGGAGAAGCTCAGGATGGGATTTTTCCTTCAGAAAAGACAAAATGTGAAGATGTCACCAGAGCAATCTATTGGGGAAATGGTAGTGTTTAGACATAGCCAGGACCTGCGCAGTGCCAAGTCGTCTGCAAGAGGACTGGACATGGCACTGGGAGACCTGTTTCTTCTTCTGCCTCCACTGCTAGTGAGCTGGGGGCCCCTGGACCTCAGTTTCCTCATCTGCACAATGGCAATCATAACAGTACCTACCTTGTAGGCTTGTTGTCAGGGTACATGAGACAATACATCTAAAACATGGTACTTAGGACAGGGCCCAGCACAAAGGGAGAGCTTAGTACACATTGTTGTAGATGATGTTGTCGAGCTAATCAGGAATGGCAGGCAGCATCAACTCATGTGCCAACTCTGATCAACTAGTAGTGCCTGGCTAGAGCTCCATGTAAAGAACTGAGGCCTCACATGGGCTCAATGGCAGGAGCATCGGTGATCCACTTGTGATGTCTGCCATGGCCAGGAAATGGGAAGAGGTATCCCGAATTCCAGGGATTTGCCATCCCAAAACTAATAGATCTCTAGAGGCCACTCCAGTGTTAACATTCCAGAATCCCACTAAATACTTCCTGGCAAGGCAGGATGCAGGAGTGGAAAAATACTGGGTTGGAAAGTAAGAGACCTCGGCATAACACTCACCACTTACATTGTAATTGTTTGTTTTCAGGTCTGTCTCCCCCTCCTTCAGGAAAGGGAGTCTTTTATGTCTGGGATTGCGAGAGTAAAATGAAGCAGAAATGGAACCTGTACTTGACCCCTACCTCTGTCACTAACTCACTCTGGGCCTCAGTCTCCCTGTCTGTAAAATGAAGGGGTTGCACATGATGACCTCTGAGGTCTCTTTGAGCTGTGACTTTCCATCAGGCCTTGATTCACTGGGTTGCCCAGGGAATTCTGGGATTGTTACAGGAGTCATGTTACTCTCCCAGCCATGCAACAGAAGGGCTGCCTACTTCCCCCTCACCCCTGAAGCTTCTTCTAAGGTCTCTAGCCAAAACGGAAGAGAATGTTCTCAGAGCACTGAATGGCCACAGAAGCCTCACCCCAGCTCAAAGCCAACCCATCCACACAGAGGAGGGGACCGGGATTCCCAGCCACTGGAACTCTGCTGCCCTTTGATCAACACCTTCTGAAGCAGAGAACGAGAGGGTATCTAGAAATGTTTTATCCAACCTCCTTATTTTGCTGAAGTTGGTGCCCAGAGAGTAAAAGTAAGTCACCCAAAGTCACTGAGCACGTTAGTGGTAACGCCGGCCCCAGAACGTAAGTCTCGGGTGCCTAGCCATTTGGGGAAGGCATCATGGCAGAGGGGACTAGGTTTTAGAGTCACACAGACCTGAGTCTGAATTCCATTCATGTCACTTCCTGACTGTGAGACCTCAGACAAGTCCCCTAACCTCTTTTTACCTCCAGCAAGGACCAACAGCATGAACTCTTTGTAAGGGAGTTGGCGAGTGGAGAAAAGGTATGTAGGCACCCAGCACAGTGCCAGCACACAGTAGGTGCTCAATAAAAGTAGTCAGCGTTATTATTATGATCCCTGTAGCACCACAGCCTGCTGCCTGGTCACAGAGGAGCAACTGGGACTCAGGACAGGGAGATTAGGGGTCACCCTGAGGTAGCGTGGACATTCACACTGCCAGGGGAGACTGTTGAGAGCCATCGTCAATGTGCTTGAGGCTCCCATCGCATGACGGAGGAACAGCTGGCTTGGATGCTTATATTTAGAACAAAGGTGCCCACAGGAAAAGGAGAAAAAAAACATTGCCTCTTTTCTTCCCTTCCGGTCGGTGGGGAAGAACTGGTTAGAGTGTGTGATCAACCACCTTTCCCCTTATAAATAAAAGCTGGCTTCTCCTTGTTCTGGCTTGTTCACTCCTTCAAAGCACTCCCAGAAATTTGATGAGTGTGTGACTGGCATCATTGGGAGACAGGCTTGATTCCTGGAAGTTAGAGTTGGAAGGAGCCAACCACTGTGTGAGGTCACCCATCAGTCTGGGTCATCCCCAAGCCCGATCCTTTGAGAATACCATGAGGTGTCTGCTTTCCTATCCAGGGGCAGCCTGCAGGAGGCTGGGCAAGCTGGGTCAGCGTCTCACCAGCATCCTTGGTGAGAATGGGTTAGAGAGGTCCCTCGCCTTCTACTCCGTCAACAGGCCCAGGAGAGGCTCAGCACCATCAACTCCCCTCTCTGGAGCTTTGGTGAGCATCAGCCATGTGTGCGGCTCTCTGCCAGGCACTCTGGGGAGTCCAGACTGTTCTGTGCTAAGACACGGACCCTGAATGCTCCCTGGGCTTGGCCATCCACTGCTAGAGATAATCACGACTGGTGACAACTTAAGGCAGTAGAGATTTGCAGTTGGACAGATTTGGGTCTGAATCTCCACTTCCCCATTCGCTAGCTGTGTGTCCTTAGGAACGTCTCTTAGCCTCCCTAAGCCTCAGTTTCTTCCTCTGTGAAACGGTGGATAACAATGCCTGCCACCCAGGATTGAGCTGAAGATTAACTAGTGCTTTCCTGGTATTGTTTTGTTTTGAACATGAAATGTTAGAACAGAGGTAAAACTCTGCCTTGAGAGTGCAGAGAGACTACTTCCAACTGGGTGACTCTGGAAATCCACCCTAGAAGAAATAACATTTGCCCTGAAAAGTGAGCAGGGATTCTTCGGGCAGAAGAGGTGGAGGAGGCAGCATTCCTGGGGAGAAACAGCAGGGGCCGAAGCACGGAAGAGGGACAAGCTGTAGCTCCATGTGGTGGGAGCTGGGACACAGGAGACCGGCGGAGCCTCCTAGACTGCCTCCAGCCCTCCATCCCCCCTGACGTCCGGGCTGTTCACTGTTTCTGACTGTCCCCCTTACAGACCCTGATGAGAGGCTAAAGGAAAAGCTCCTATTTATGGCCTCTCCGTCCAGCCTAGTCTATGCCCCCTGCTCCCATTTTACCTTCCAGAAACGCCCAACACAACACCATCAGCAACTCCGTGCCTTTGCCATGCTGTTCCTTCTGCCAGGAGCACCTGCCTCCCTGCAAACTCTGATTCATTCTTCACTCCTTACCTCCTTTAGAGAAACTTCCCTGGCCACCACCCTCGCCCCTACCCCACCTCCCTTCCTGTGGCTCCACAGAGGAGTACGGGCTTTGGAGTCAGGTGGACCTGGCTTCCACCCTCTGCTCCACCGTGTTGGCGAGTCTGCACGCATTTGTAAACTCTATGTACAATACCGACCTGTAGGAGGGTTGGAAGCTTGACTCTGGATAACATCTGTGAAAGCCCTGAGCTCAGTGTAGCTGGCCCCTCAATACATTCTAGCCATTCTTCTTTTCTCTACACAGAACACACTAGATTGTCTAGGCTCTCTGCTTGCCTAGCTCTTTAAGGGAGGGGATTGTGTCTGACTCATCTCTGAGGCCCCCGTCCCTATTCCAGGACATTTGCTAAACTGCAGAGAAGAGTAGAGGGGTTGAAGCAAGCAGGGCAGCCCAGACATCTGAACCCCCCGGAGAGTTTTATCAACGCCCAGCGCTGGTCCCTCCGTGTCGCAGTGGGGCTGGGCAAATCACAGAGGTCAGGCTGGCCCAAACCCAGGGCAGCCCACAGAGCATTGTGACCGGGACTTTTATGAGCCTCACTGCTCAGTTATAAAAGCCAACCTGGTCCTGCCCCGTAGAAAGAAAACATCTATCAAAGGCTCTGACTTGGCCACAACTGGATAAAGTGTGTTTGCAGCTTTCAACGTGAGCTGTTTGCGAATCACCCAGGAATACTGAACGTCTCAGAGGACCCAGCAGGTCACTGGGGGAAGGCAGCGAGACCCTGAGGACACTCCCAGGCACAGGTTCGCTCTGCCTCGGGGATTCCCAGGGTCGGGAGGGATAAAGGGGCAATTTTTTCTCATCATTAAAGGGCAGCCGATTGCCTCTGGGGTGGAATGCAGGGTCTGTTTAACAGGGTAGGGGTGACAGATTACAGCCGGTTGGGAAGACGCATCCCATATCTAATTGAAAATCCCAGGGGAACCTTAGGTGGGTCCAACATAATTACCCAAATTGGAGCAGGGCCAACAGGGCTTGATTCTTCGGCTCTGGCTGTGACAGGACAGCGTGTCTGTGCAAAACCAGTGGCTTAAAAACTCCAGGAAGTAGATCAAGGGTTAGGAAGATGTCAGTGGGTGTTTCACCTCCTTGCCGGGGAGCGTGAGCTGGAAGTCAGCCCCTGGGAGGAACTATTTTGATCTCCAGAAGCCCTTATCCTGACTCACCCTGATTCGTTGAGTCATCACTGTGACGAGCACTGAAGACCCGAAGCAGTGAAACCCTGGCTCACACTCCCCTTCTCTTCTAAAACCCTCTGGAAGCTGGTAAATCCTCTTAGCTTTTGAGTCAGCAAGGTGGCCAGAGCAGAGAGACACCCCGTGACGTGGTTTTCAGCTAAGGAGCCCAGGAACGGCCGTGCTAACACCCCGCCAGCCCCTAGCACAGCGTCTGCCCCACAGGGCCGCTGGAGAAACATCAGGCGAGTGTGGAGGCCCCGCTCACACACTTCTGGGAAAATACAAGCTCCGTGTGTGGAGGCTCACCATGTGCCAGACCTGGTGTTATGTGGGTTTCTTATTTTATTCCTGCAAGCACATTAGGAAGTGTTCTTGTCCCAATTCACAGAGGATGAACTGGAATTCCCGGGAGTTAAGTGACCCCCGCCCCCGCCCCTGGTGAGGGGGGAAGGCGGGCAGGTTCAGAACAGCATGACTTCCACCTGCCTCACACCCACTAGGCCAGGCGGCCTCCGCAGCCCTCTCCCAGTACCAGCCGGGGAGGCCAGCAGGGGGCGTGGAGACACAGCGAGCCCATTCTCGGCCCCCTGCTGGCCTCTTGAGTGCTCTCATCTGGTCACCTGACCTCACCCCTCTCCGTGCTTCACTTAAGCTGGTTGGTAACAGGGGACTAGCAACTCCAGGGATGATTAGCATCTCCCCTGACTCTTCCTGCATCCTGAAGAAAGCAGAGGCAAAATAGCATTTCTGCGAGCTGGAACCCTACCCAGGAATGGGGAGCCGAGCATGCCCAACCCAAGACAAATAAGGGTAGGCCTCACACCCTGTCACAGGCATGTGAAACCCAGGCTGCGTGTGCCTCCGAGAAAGAAACGCAGTGAGGATTCTCGGATTCTCCACCACTGCCCCGCACAGCCGCAGAGATGGAAATGTGATTAGGCTTGTTGTGGACAAAGTCTCATGGAAAGTTACCCATAGGTGGGGAGGAACCAGTGCAGACCTTCTCAGGGACCTAACAGTCCCAGCACATGGGCCCTCAGGCACCCCGTCCCTCTGTTCCCTCCAGGGACACGGGAACAGAAACAGAACTCGAATCCGAGAGACTGGGGTTTGGATACTCCCTCAATTCTACGACATTCAGCTCTATCTTCTTTCTATTACATCGTTTTCTTTATCATTCAACATAAACAGATGGATGCTATTTTAGAATAACCCAAAGCACACTTCAGTTTTATCTTCTTGCTTTTGAAATGAAATTACAAATTTCTCAGCTTCATCCTTTCTGTGTCAATCTAAAAATACATATTTTGGACCTCCTCTGAGGGTCCAGGCCTGCTCCATGTCCACTGCCCACTGTATGCTCTCCTGGGTGACGTGGTGAACAAACCTGGAGTCATGGATGTCGGAAATGGAAACACCTCCCCTTTTTTCACACATGGAGAAATGAAGGCCCAGAGAGGTGCTGAGAGCAGCCCCAGGCCACAGAGCCAATTAACACAAATGTCCTGCTGTGGAGGCTGGGAAGTTAGCCACTCAGCAGGGTGAACCTAAGTTTGAGACACTGGGTGTAACAGATACTTGACTGCAGGCCTTCTCAGAGCCTTTAATAAGCTCATGTACACTGAGACGCTCCCAGGGGCAGAGGGATTGTCTGCAGTGCTTCCTAGGCTTATTAACCAAGGATCTGTCATTCATGGAGCATCACAGAGAGCCAGTGAGCCCCAGACATCCCCAGGCATGCCAGCACCACTGCACTGCCCCAGCGGGAAAGACTGCCCTTGGGGATGTGTGTGGCCACACAACCTTGGGGCCCACACAATCCGGCATTTTGTTGCACGCTCCTCTGCCTTGCTTTGGAGTTGTTCCCAGGTGAGCTTGTCTGAAGGCATGCATGGTGTTCTGTTCACCTGAGCACCCCCACCGCCTCCAGCACAGAACCAGAAACCTCCAGAGCCTGCTGACTGACAGATGCACATGCCATAAAATGAGAATATCTCAAACCGCTGGTCCAAACGTGAACAAAGGCCAAATGACACTTCTCTGGGGAAAGCAGTTCAACACTGAGTATTCTCCACTCTCCTTTCACCATTGCCCTGAAGAAGCTTCCAGATTCGGGCTGGGCGCTTGAGCTGCCATGCCACATAACAGCTGCATCCTATATCCTCATCTGCCTACAAGATGCAGAATCATAGCAGCTATATTAATAAGAGTAATAGCTATTTTCAAGCACTGTCTCATCTAACCCTCGCAGGACCCCTGTCAGGGGGTCCTCATCTCCACTTAATCACACGGAAACTGAGGCTCAGAGAGAAGTCTCCGCAAGAGACAGAGCCGTGAGCACACTCAGGTCTGCTAACTCCGAAGCTGTCCTCTTACCCTCCCTATCTGCTGGCAGAGTAGGGAGAATGGGGGCAATGGTGCTCCAGGCCAACCCAGAGGCAAGTCCCTGGTGTTTGGAGAGAGCCTGTTCTGGAGACTTTCCTGCCCTAGACCTGAGCCCTGGAGCCTGTGAAGGGTCAACCTGCAGAACCCAAAAACCGGAGGGCAGAAGGGACTTACCTGGCGGCCTCCATCCGGGGTCTGAATCCCTTCTTCAGATTCTAAGTTTGACTCGGCAGGTTCACGTCTTGCTCCTCTCCCTAACCCAGTCTCCTGACCCTGGGCGAACGGTCAGAGTACATCCAATGGTGCCAGCCTCCCTGGGTTGCCTGGACTTCCGACGCACCTGGCTGTGGGCCCAGCCATCTGCCCGACCTCCTGGAGGTGCCCAGGTGGCTCAGTCCCAGCCCTGCTGGTCAGCCTCCCGACAGCCAGTCCTGCCTGGAGAGGACTATACTGGGGGGAGGTCTTAGATGGCGACAGGAGGACTGACCTTAACTGTAGTTACTTCTAGAAACTCTAGAACCATTTGAGGAATAAATAAGCCCTGTGAGTTTTTGAGCATCTTCAGTGAAAGTAACACTAAATATAAATTAAACACTAAATACAAATTAAAAGTGAAAATGGCAACACAAATCTTTGTCTTCACTTTTTAAATTTCTGTTAACGTCACCACCATTTGCACCCACTATATGCCAAATATGTATTTCTAAATGTGAAAGCAACACTATGAGGCATGAATTATCCCCACTTTACTTTACAGATGAGGGCATGGAGGCTCAGAGGGGTTAGTACAGCACCCAAAGTCACACAGCATGCAAACAGCAGAGCTGAAGGTCGAATCCAGCAGGTCTGACCAGCTCCGAAGTCTAGGCTTTCATCCCATCAGTAACAAACCAGAGAGCTCCACTGCTTCTGTACGTCCTGCCATCCCAAGGGGACTGTCATGTTATACAAATAAAATAATGTCAGCACCAGGGGAGCACAGCACCATGAGGAACGTGGAAAGACCCAGGCTGTCCTGAGCCTCATGCCCAGAGGCACCTCCAGTTAGCTGTGTGGGCTTAAGCTAATCTCTCAGCCTCACTGAAGCCTCGCTTCCCCTCTATGAAGTCAGAGTAATAATCCTTACAACAGGGTTGTTATGACAATTGAATAAGGAGTGAAGTCCCAGCACAGAGTAGTTGCTCAATAAATATTCTGCATTGCACAAGTACTTACTGAGCACCTACTACGGCAACCGGGGCCCCTGGAGAGACACCGCCTCCTTTTCTAGCCATGTTGGGTCCTTCCCCAGAACCACCTTTCAGAAGAAAGATCAGAAGAACCAGGACTCACGGGAAAAGAGTCTTTTTCGGAATTTTGGTGTGGTCATTTGGGTTGTAATAACCGGGTCCCGGGCCTGTTGACGTCAGTTTCAATCCACGGCCAGTTTTCGATTTAAAACAAGACATTAATATCTTTGGCGACTGCTTCACAAGGGATTCGTTGACATTATAATGCCCTAAGCAGAAAGAAATTTTAAAACAGAATAAAGAACTTTTCTCAGATAAATAAAAAGCAGTACCTTACACCTGAGAATACATTTAATAACATTAAGGTAATATCACTCCAGGATGGCCAAATGGAAGGAGCTTCCCAAAATACTAAAGATAATACCACTGAGAGAACACGTGCCACGTGCATTACCCACTGAGCTCATTTAATCCTCCCAACAGCCCAGCAAGATGGGTATTATCACCTCCATTCTAAACACCAGGAAACTAAGACTCAGAGACATTAACTAACTTGCCAAAAGACATTCATCTAACCAGGGACTAAGCCCAGCTTCCTCCTCTATAAAGTAAGAATAAAAATTCTTCCAACAACAGGGTGCTTATGACAATTGAATAACATTTTAGGTTCTTGGCACATATTAGTTGTTTGTAACTATTATGCAATCAACAAACATTTATTGAGCACCTACTATGTGTTCCCAGGGCCCTCTGTTTCCAGAGTCCATGCTTTCCCACCATGCCCTGTCTCAAGAAACTGTGACAGAATAAAATTAATTTGAGTGTGCACAAAGCTTTAAGGAAGAAGAGAACGATTTGAGCCGGGGTAAAGAGGAAGCAGTCTCCCCCCTAAATTGTCCGCAGTCCTGTAAACGGGTGCAGGCGTTTTGGAGTGCAAAGCAGCAGTATGAGGCCACAGCCTTGAAGGTGTCTGCACACTTTGACTGAGGCTGCTCACTACTCAGAAATTAAGGAAATTATTCCACGTAATGGCAAAGCTCTAAGCATAAAAGCATGCACAACAGCAGTAGCCACAGTGTGAGGAAGGATAAACAGCCTGGGCGTCCAGGCCCAGGGGCACAGTTATGGGAACCACAGCCCAGCCTGGTGGAATCTCAGCCCTGATGGTGATACATACGAAGACTGTCATAAAGCCACATGGCAATGTTTTTGAAAATAAAGAGATGAAAAAACTAAAATAAAGCCTAAAAGTCTATATATACTATGACGACATCTACGTACAAATGGATGCATCTGAGTAAAAATAGACAGGAACCCAGAAAAATGGAAACAATTGTATTAGCAGTGACATCGTGGGTGGGAAAAATATTTCAAATATTCTAAACATTGTAAAGTTGATTTTGTTTTAAATAAAACTTACTTTTCCATTGCAAAAGCACTGAAAACAACAATATGGTACATATTAGCAAGACTTTATTTAAAGGATCATACCCAGTGGTGGCAAAAATGAGAGACGACAGGTGTCTCACAGAAGCAGCAGGATAAAGGCTCCCTGTGCTGAAGGGCAATTTGGTCAGAAATATCAAAAACCTTAAATATTTTACACACTTTTCGACTGAGCAATTTCACTTTAGGCAATTTGTATAAGGAAATAATCTTGATTACACACAAATGTGAGCTACAAGGATGTTTGTGCCACTCTATCTGTATTAGTGATCGGTTTAAAACAACCTAAATTTCCAACAAGAGGGCATTTGTTCCTTAACTTATGATACCGCCATACAATGAAATACCATACGACCATTAAAGAGGTGTTCTCGGAGGATTTTTATAACATGAAAAGATGTTCTCAATATATGCTTACATTAAAAAAAACAAACAGATGTCCAGTGAGCAGCATTTATAATATTAGTATCTATCTCTCACATTATCTTTCTGTTTCTTTTTCATATATGTATTTTAAATTTTTTCCCCCTACCAAACGAAGTTTAAAGCAATACTTGATTATGAAATGGTGAAGAGCAGAAGCAAGGCAGAAAACGCATTCACACCTCCACGGCCCAGAGGGAACCGAGGTTAACCTCTGGCGTAGTTACTTCCGGTCTTTTCCTGGTGGAGCTGGACTGTCTCTCGGTGTGGAGCTCACACAAGGATTCAATTCTGTAACCCAGGTTTCTGGGGTGACACTGACACAGGCGTTTCCCCACGTTCTCATGACCTTTATTATAAAGGACAAATAAAGAGGGAGGAGGACATTGGTGAAGCGCCTGACCTGTGCTCGGCACATCCAAACTTGAGAAAATCCGACAGCAAATGTGCACGGGGGAGCATTTTGCTCAGAACTGAAGGCAGGCCAGGCGCAGCCTCAGCCCCGAGGCAGGCGCGCTGGGAGCCGCAGGGACACAGCAGGGACGCCGCTCACAGCTCCACCTCTGGTCTCTTCCCACAGGGGGCCAAGCAGACACCACAGCAGTATTTCCGAGAGGTCAAGCCGATTGTCTCTTGCAGAAGGGCGGATTCCCCAGGCTCTGGCCCTGGCAAGTTTGGAGGGGTCGGGGGGGGGGTGTCCTGAAGGCACCAGGCATGGAGCTGGATGGCCTTGGATTCAAATCCAACTGTGGGACCCTGGGCTCATCACCGGCTTTCTATGTATCATTTTTGCCCATAAAATGGGGATAAAAGGATGATAATAATAGCTCACACTTTCTGAGCATGTGATTATGTGCCGGGCAAATGCTCCTGGGGTTTTGAGAGCATTCAATGAGACGACGAGTATAAAGCCTCTGGCACACAGTAGGAGCTTAACAGACACTGGTGTCCACCTCTCCCCCTCCTGTTCTGGTACAAGGGGCTAGGGGCCCCTCAGGACTCTCCTGGGGGGAATGGGTGCCCACATTCCAGGGCCCACTGGCGGGACCTTTGGCCAAACCCCAGGGACTCCGGCTTTGTTCCCCTGTACAAACAAACAAGGCGGGGTTTTACCCGTGGATGACGCAAGGCAGGGGAGCTTTACAGGGGCTTAGCCTCCTAATTAGGGCTGGTTTTGCTATTCAGTTCAGACTGATCTTCTCACCTTTAATCTGGATTTGCTGAAACCCGACATGCGCTGTAATTTTACCCACACCCCCTCCAAGAGGCGCGATTGCAGAGGCAAAGTCTCCCTGCTCCTCCTCCCGGCTCTGGGGCCCAAGGCTCCTCGGGGTCTTGGGGACCCACTTGGGAAGGTCTAATATAATGAGTGCTCCTGGAGTGTAGACTGTGCATCCCCAGGCCTCTCTGGAAACTCCTCGCTAAGGCTGGTGGGGGGATGAAGTCTGAAAGCACAGGAGGGGTACGCCCTTCCCCAGCCCCAGGCAGAACGTTTGCAGGTCAGCCCTGGTGTATTCCCAAATCCTAGAGGCTTCAGAAGTCACAGTGGGATGGTGGGGGTATGAGGCTCCTCAGTCAGACATCTCTGGGCTTAGGTCACCGTTTATTGGCTGTGACACTGAGCAAGTCACTTCAACTCTCTGAGCCTCCGTTTCCTCACCTGAAACACCAGACTAAGAGCATGGACCTGTGAGGACAGATGTGAGGACCACACGGGAAAACTGAGCACAGCATAGGCACTGCATAAACAGAGCTGTTTCCCTCCTTTGATGATGGGATGGTGAAGTCGCCTCCAGGCACAGGAGAAAAGGAATGTTGCAGCTGAGTGTGGAGGGATCAGGAGTATTGTGTGCCCCCCACATCTTCCTCCCCCAGGTGCCTGTGATGGCGCCCGGGGTAGGGGAATGTGCACACTTCTGAGGTGACAAGCCACTTCCCCAGCTGGCTGCCTGGAGCAGGTGTGCCCAGTCACGAAAGGGGAGCCCAACAAGGCTGCTTTGGGGTCTGTTTCCAGTGCCAGCCATCCTTCCCCAGAAGAGTTGGAGCTGGTCTTCTCTTTGTTCGCCACTCCCCCCTCCCCCAAAGCCTGACTCCTTCCAGAGAGACTCCCTACGAAGGAACAGGCGCCCTGCCCACGAGACCTGGCACATTAGCCCTTAGGTCAAGGCCAGTGCAAGGCGCTGCTTACCCGGGGCAGGTCCTGATTCCGTAATGGTGAAAAATCCTCTCTGAGTCTTGGACACAAAGCCAGCTCGGGCACAGACGTTATTTTTCTGCTTGCAGCAAGAGACGGAGGCCTGGGGGAGAAAATAAGCCCGGTGTGCTCAATGCCTTCCCTTCCTTCATCTCTGTCATTGTACCTGGACAAGTGGCACATTTGGCTAGAAAATCACATTTAAACCTGCCGTTCTCAGAAAATGAAATGACGTGAGCAGAAAAGGACACGCCGGCCGTGCCTTCACCGTCACCCCAGCTGGAGTGGTCAGTGAGCTTGTGATCACCGGCAAACGTCTGGTGACCCAACGTGGCACAGAGGACGGTGCCCCCAAGAGAGCCTGCAGACTCGGCCTCTGGGCTCACCTCGGCTGCGCGCGGGGCGTGTGACCCTGCGCAATTGTTTAATTTCCCTGAACTGGAGCTTGCTCACCTGTAAAACAGATCAGACGCTCTGCTTGATGCAGAATGCCGCTGGGATGAGGGGGCAGGCGGTCAACACAAACCGTCTATAGGAAAATGTTTTTCAAAAGATGCGTAACGCTACACATGCAAAGTATTTTCATTACTTTTCCTACGATTTTTACTCTTCTCAGAACACTTAGTCCTACACATGCCCACCTGATTCCTCACTGTTCAACAGTCCTTCTATAAACACAGGATTCGGGGCATACCAGAGAATTGTGTAATTTAAGATCACGATCAGATTTGTAAGCACCCTTGTCTTGACTTTTCTGGACTGACCAGAAATTAAGAATTTTGGTTGATCCACGCAATATACATTCGAGGGTGTCCAGTGTGTTCGGAACTCTAACAATAATAGAAAAAAAAAGAATCCTGAGATCATTCTTATGTTACGCATGAATCACAAATATTTTAAATGCCAATTTGCAGTCTGTCCCCTGTATTCATTAGATAAAAGAGGCAATAAAAATTGTGCCTGCGATGGCTGGCAATATTTACTGAATGAGCGAAACTATTTGCTGGGGCCGCGATGGTTTGATTTTCTGTGATACTCCTTTGTCAAAAAAATGTTTCTCAAGAAATGCAGATGACATTTTGATTTTGTGTTGACAAAGGTGGAGGAATTTCGCTTTTCCCAGGGTCCTAAAGGCCAGACTGCACGCAGAGAGGGCAAACAACGAGATCAGATGGACAGGCTAATTACTGGACACGGGGAGAGGCAGTAATAACAGCATGAGGAAAAGGATTCGAATAGAGAAGTGGGGGACCTAGTGAGCAGAGGCGAAGAAAGCCCTGGGCAGACCTCAGGACACAGTGTGGCTAACAGGATTATCGCATTTCTGCTCCTCGCCAGTTGACTCAACCATTGTTCTCCAGGTCTGAAAAAAGCCTCCTGTAGACAAAACACTGCCTCAGCCTCATTCCTCACCCAGACAGAAAAGTAACTGAAAACGGAGGCGTTTTTGTACACACTGAGTGTGCGTCCCTGGAAGATTCCATCATTAGACTAGGAAATAGTCAGCTCCAGTGGCAGGCTAAAAAAGAATGAAGCTGATTTATTGTATTGCCATGGGGAAAAAAAAAATCCAAGATATAGTTAAGAAAAAAATGCACGTGTACCGCGTACTGCCAATCCCCACACTCCCCACATATTCTCTCTCTCAGGTTCCCACTGTTTGTCTCCCTCAAAGCTGGCCACAGTTTGTCATTATTTTGTTTGTCTATCTACTAGTTCTTGTCTTGAATTCCCCACTGGAATCTAAGCTGTTTCACTGCCCTGGCACAGAGTAGCCACGGGACCCATGAAGGGAAGCCCAGCTGGGCTGGAACACGGTGAGTCGATCATTCCCCAGCTTTACGCCTCAGCCATCCACCTGTGCTCACTGATGTGCAGATGGTCCCTTCGAGCTGGGTACCTTTGGGCAAGTCCCTTCACCTCTCTGAACCTCAGCTTCCTCTTCTGTAAATTGAGAATAAGATAATGCACTTCACGTATTCTTGTGAGCATAAAGATGACGAATGCATAACTCTTAGAACAACACATATGCCACGAAGAGTGCTTCATCATCATCACCGTTATTATCATTTTCAGCTCTGATCGCCCCAGGAGAAGACCATCTAGAGCTGTGCTATCCCACAGCAGCCACTGGCCACAGGTGGCTGTCAAGCCCTGGAAACACGGCTGGTCCAAATTAAGATGCACTGCAAGTATAAAATACACACTGGCTTTTAAAGACTTAGTATGATGGAAAGAATGAAAAACATCTAATTGATAATTTTTATATTGATTACATATTGAAATAATATTTTAATAGACTGGGTTAAATAGAATATATTATTAAAATTAATTTCATCGGTTGCTTTTGACTTTTAAATGCGGCTACTAGAAAAATTTAAATGACATGTGGCTGCCACTATACTTCTATTGGACAGTGCTGGCCTGGCAACCATTTTTATTGCTTTGAGCACATTATAATTGATTGGATCAATCACAGAAGGAGGGCAGGATCTTTGTAGTCAGAAAAATAAATATTATTTATAAATAGTATAAAAGAAAAAGGAAATTTAAAATGAAGTATCCTAAGACCAAAATATTTTGAAATGTGGCATAATAATATTAATACCTTATCTATAATTCGTGTCTTATGTATTTCAGAGTGCCTTCACACGCATTGTCTTATTTGCTTCTAAAATAACCCTGTAGGGCAAGTATAATTAATTGCATTTTACAACTGAGGCTCAGGAGGTAGCATGACTTCCCCAGAGGCAGCTCGACCGACCTCCATGTGTGTGGACCCTTGGGCACCAGATGTCATCTAAGCACTCAGCATAGATTACCTCATTTAATATGAAGTAGATACATATCCCCATTTTACAGATCAACAAACTGAGTCCTGAAAGGTTAAGGGACTTGCCCAAAGCCACACAGTTAGAAAGTGAGTCAAGATTTGAACCTGAGTCCGTCTCTTAACCATCAATTATACTGTTCTGCCTCAGTGACTATAAAGTGATCGTAATTGGCAGAACACTATTATTAAAAAACTAGTTTTCTGATATGGAAAGATAGAAGTTTATTTTCTCTATAAGAACCTAAAAAGTAAATGAATAGTGTCCGCAGATAAAGTGGTAAATAACATACTCACGGTTACAAATGAGAAAACTCTCCCGGGAAGGTTAGAGGAGGGGAGTGATTATAGTAAGGATTTTCCAGGGCAGAGGTCTTCCCACTGCTCCATACTGACCTCCATGTGGCTCACATTTTTCTCTGGGTTTTGAAAATTCCCTGTAAGAGTCTTGCACAGCCTCATGTACCCACTGGGTAGTCAACAAATGCTACCTGGTTTAGCAGTTGCATTAAAATATTTCCCAAAGTGCCCCACTTCCTTTCTTTTATTTTAGTAAACCATTCCTTCAATATATATTTAGCAAGCATATGCAAGATCTTACATTGTAATGGTTTGGTGCAGGAGTTTCAAATTTGAGAACTTTCTCGAAGCTTGGCAGCTGGAACATGCTGGAACAGGAATTACTGAAGTCTTTCTTCGAAACAAAATGTGATGGGATGGTGTATGCATTAGCTGCAGGATATTTAGAAATGATGGTGTCCAATCGGGAACACTGTGAGGAGAAAACCACAGGAGTCAGCACTGTCACATAATCTTGTGGCTCTGAAGGACAAATGTCAAAAAAATGGTGCTCAATACCAAGTCTAAAAACATTTTATAAGGAGCTGGCCTGGTGACGTAGTGGTTAAATTCGTGTGCTCTGCTTCAGCGGCCCAGGGTTTGAGGGTTTGGATCCCGGGCGTGGACCTATACACAGCTCGTCAAGTCATGCTGCGGTGGCGTCCCATATACAAAATGGAGGAAGATGGGCACAGATGTTAGCTCAGGGCCAATCTTCCTCACCAAAAAAAAAAAAAAAAATTATAAAAGGTGAAACTCCAGCAGGTAAAAATGATACACTGACCTTGGGCTTTAAGGATTCGCTCTTAGAAAATGCAAGTTCAGACCTGTTTTAACTTCTGTAAACTAACTCAAATTATTTATCTTACGTTTGGGACTTCACAAAAATAATTTTGCCATAAATGCATTTCCACCCAATCCCGTTTCAGGCCACTGGCACCTGACTCATCGGCTGTTGGGTAATTTATATGATGGAAAGCTTTAGACTTTCTTCCTCCAACTGGGCTTTCCTTTTGAGTAAAACCTCACATCTTGTTGCCAAGGTTAGATGATCTGAATTGCCTAAATAACTAGTTTGCTTCCAACGTCTTCAAGATACATGGCGCCACAGGGCTTGCTGTTCAACACACCTCCTAGCCCCCACCTACTTACTGATTTCATAAAAACTACAATATTTTTTCTGTTTCAACAGAACCAATCCTTCTCCTTCCAGGAAGCCATGGTGTACTATTTTCAGTTAAACAAACAAACAGAATCAATGTTTGCCAAATGAAAAGGGCCAAAAGCCATAGAAACTAGGCGATAACATCACTTTACCTGAAAATAGTATGGCAAGTATCAGAGTCTGATAAAACAAAAAAATTCTCATTATTTTGTGGTTAAAAGCTTGAGAACATTGCCCTGGGTTTCCTCAGCTTGATAGGGGTCAATAACCACATAAGCACAGAAAGTGGGGAAGGCTGTGGGAAGGCATTAGGGCTCCCCGCCACTTCACTTTGTGCTTAGGGGCAATGGTTCTCAACACCTGGTTTATGGACCACCAGTGGTCTGTGGGCAGGTGTGCCACCAGGAGCAGGAGCGTTCTTGTCCAGAGTCGCAGCTGTTCAGAGTCTCCCATGGGTTCAAGTCCCAGCTCTGCCTCCTCCTGATTGTAAGGATTCATTGACGTTCCCAGGAACACGTTCCCAGCCTTGTACTCATTTTGCCTTTGCATTTTGGACAATAGTTAACCAAGCACTTTTCATGGGTTGTTGCATTTAAGCCTCATGGCAACCTTGGGTAGTGGACATTTTGATTACCTCCACTTTACAGATGAGGAAACTAAACTTCCTCAGCTAGTTGAGTGGTGGAACCCACATTCTCACCCAGGCAGTCTGCCTCCACTGTATGATATGGATCAGACATCCCACTCTGAGGAGGAATGGGTGGAGAGGAGTAACAGCAATATGTGTTTCCATTTATAAGATGAGCAGCTGATGAATGACTCTGAGAGGTTTTAGTTCGAGAAGAATCACTACCCCGTATCTCTTGTACCCAATGGTATGGGCAGACCTTTGCTTTTCCTTTCAACTTCCATAGAAGAAGGGTGGCAAGGTCAAGACTTCCTCTTTGGTGCCGTTTGTAGCATGTCTACTCTGAGTCCCCCAACAGAGTGGGCAAGCATGTTTTTCTACTGCACTATTTCCCAAAGTATTTTCCTCGGCATACCAGTTCTATAAGATGAGGCTGTGTTGGTGGTGGCAGCAGCGTGGAGAGAGTTCCAGAGTCAAATACATTAGAGAAATATGTGGTATGAGAACATCATACCATGTTCCCATTTTGAAGATTTATAATACACATCGGCATATTAAATGCTCTGAGAAGGGCTTCAATAAAGACTCTGTGTAACCAGCCTTTCCCAAACTTACTGGATCATAGAATCTTTTTGGCTTAGAATACCTGTTAACATACTTTTTGGGAAAAACTGTTCTAAAAAATTCCCATTAGAGGCAAAGTTTCATAAAGCATTATAATAGAAATAGTCTCAGAGTTTAGCTGAAGTAACACTCACTCACCAACCCTCCCCACCCCTCGGCTTTCTTTTAATTGTCAGGCCTGTGGTCTCCAATCTGGCCACCTGCTGGCATTTACGAACCTCTCTCCAGCACACACTAACTTTTCCAGAACCATCCCACCACCATGCGCATAGAGAAAGGCCATGAAAGTCTCCTCCCATCTCCCTCATTTAGCTTCCTAGTCAGTCTTATGAATAATTCTGGAGCAAAGATTTAGAACACATTAATAAAGCTCTTTATATTATTTGGACTTAGAGAGATGACAGGTCCTCTAAAAAGGTTGGGTGTAGTTGTTCCAATAGTCATCAGGAAGTTTCTAAAATTTATTCACCCACAGAGTTTTTCGTTAGCCTCAACCACAATCACACTCCTCCAGGCCATACCAGTGTGAGTAAGGCAGACCTTTCTCTGATTCGGGCTACTGTTAATGCTCTCAGAGACCTGGGATCCGGAAATGGAGGAGGTGCTAAATGTGAAAGTCACTAAAAGAGGGGTGGAGGTATGAAGTTTGCATCCAGTTCAGAAAGGAACTAGGTATGACGTGGGGATCTCCTGACAGATCTCCATCAACCACTTAAGGCACTGCCCAAGGATATAGGAACTTAAGTGTTTATAAACATAAATTCCCATATCCACCAGGAGAGGTAGCCTGAACAATTCAATGTCTGCCTTCTCTTGGGTTTGGTCTGAGTTTTTTAAAGACCTGAAAGGCCCAATTCGATTCCGTAATACTCAGATCTTCCCTTGGGCCCCTTTTCCTCCAGACGGCCCAGCCTCATTATTTGGAAAGTTACTGCCTGTAAAGCCTGGCAGGGAACTGATCTTGTGCTCTGATTCATCCCTTCTCTGGCAACAAGCAGGAATGGGCGGTGCCACTATTTGGCAAAGAACTTCTCAGAGAGAAAACCTAGGTGTTGCAGGAAGAATTGTTTGTGACTCAGGTGGTAACAATCATAATATTTAACATGTTTATAATAGTCCGCAGTTTCAAAGAGTATTTCACTCATTGCTACGTTAATTTGCCTAGCGCCTCCAGGGCGTCTCCACTTTATGAGGCAACTAGGACAGAGAAGGGTGACGTGCTTGAGGTCACATCGAGAATCCACGGCTGAGTCAGGATTAGGTCTTAAGTCTTGTCCTCCGTGCCAAGACATGGTGAGATGGCACTTCTTTTGTCAACAGCTTTTGAGTCTCTTCACTCGCAGAAAAAGGGGTAGGGGCAGGGTTGTTCTGTGCACTCACTGGGGCATGTGCGACCTCAACTTCTTTTCTCACGAGGAGTTAACTCCAAGGTCGGTTTGCTCCTTGAGTTTTCAACTCTGCCAAACTTGAATTCCAATGAGTGGCTGCATTCAGTGTGCCTTAAATGGTCCCTTTGTGTGGTTTTTTTTAAAAAAAAAAAAAATCAATCCCAATGTCAGGCATCGTAATACACCTTTGCAAGAGATTATTATAACTTTTAAAGGAACAGACAGCATATGTGTTTTGTTGATGCTAGAGTTTGGGTTTGCTTTCTTTTTCGCTTTCCTACCTCAGCTCGTCTTACCCTAGTTTGACCCTTTTCCCTTGCTATATCTATTTTTCTTGCCAATTTATAAAATATTCAAATAAAGACGATCCTTGCCCAAGTCTGGTCAGGGACGTTGGCACTTCGTCTAGCTACTTGATTCTTAGAGATCCACAAGATCAAGACCCACGTCTTCCAAAGAAGAGAAATGGGGAGGGAAAGAAGATTGCTAACCTTCAGGCCCACTGCCTGCTTTCTTTTTGGTCCCATCAGATTTCTCAATAATTTGAATAACCCAATTAGACTAAGCAGTGTAAAACATCACATTGGGGCAAAACGTATAATAACTTTTTCCTAGTATGCCTAAAAATCTCAGGAAAACATTTGCCTGGTCCACTCCAGGATGACAACATTGGTTTTGGATGGTCAGGTTCTGAACATTCCTCTAGCTTCTCCTCCCATGCTGGCCATATGTAGCAATGGAAAAAATTTACCTAAAGACACAGGCTCCAATGTACCTGCATGAAATTTGAGGAGGCGGTTACTTTCCTAATTAGAACCACGGGCCTTTGGAGAGAAGGGACTGGATGTCCAATATATGGTTATGCAATGAACGAAGTTAAATTACTGATCAGCTAATGGCCTTACTCAAAGAAGAGGTTCTCACCATAGAGGGAAAAGTGCATGTCCCTTTCTTAGACAACGAGACACTGTTGGACACTGGAGACTGGTGAACAACGTTGTAGAACCCAGGACCCGGGATATCATCCTGAAAGGGAAGAGTATGTGGCGTCATCTGGATACATTCAATTCCATTGTGCGTTTCCGCAAGCTTTACATCTATTAACGCTAAGCCTTACTGTAATCCTCCAGGACAGGCACCACCGCCACTGCACAGATGACAGCCCGGCTCCACTGTTGCCTAACCTGCCCAGTCACCATCTCAGTTACCAAGTGCTAGGGCTGGAATTCCAACCTGGGTCTGGGACCCCAAAAGGCCATGCTCTTTCCACCATGCCGTACTGCATTCCAGAAGAACTTTGTTGTTTTTCATGCCATTAGAGAAATGAGCATAAAATGGGATACCAAGTGTGGCTGATGGGCCAGTCGGTGTGTACTGATTGGGTAAGCCAAACCCACGGGGAGGGGAGGGTGACTGATTTCATGTCAACCGCACCCCACCTGACTCAGCTTCCTCCGCAGCCTTTCAGAAGAGAAATCAGGGAGTGTTTCTGTTTCTAAAGCAAAACAAAACAAAAACAACCTTCATCCCAAACAAGACCATTTCTAACTCTCAGACAAAAAGAGGCAGCCTCACGGGGCTCAGGTGCTGACAGATGCAGGTATGTGCGAGAGGAATAAACAAAAGCTTGATTTCTAAGCTCATTTCTGCTACTGCAGTGAACTGGGCTTTTGTCTCATTTCCCATGCTGGTTACCAGGGGGAAGCAAATGTTGACGGAAGTTGGCCAAGCAAGAGTCATGAAATGATAAGGATGCTCCACTGTCTCAAGAGTTTACTGGGTGCCGACCTGGTGCCAAGAGCTTTTCAAAGGTTGTCTCATTTAATCTCCCAATGAGGAAGGGATTACTGTCCCCATTTTATAGATGGAGACACTGAGGCATGTGGAGATGAATTTGCCCCAGGTCCCACTGCTATAAGTGACAGTACATGAATTCAGTGCTAAGTGCATGGTGTACACAGCCCTTTGCAGTGGGGTATTATCAGGTCCCTTTTAATGGAAGTGAGGCCTACAGGCATTGGGTCCACAGCTAGTAAATGGTGAAGATTTAAACCAGGCAGCCTGACTCTAGAGCTTGCTGTCTCCAACTTCGGCCCCCCGGGCTCATCCTGTTTCCCCCATCCCTACGACCTTCCTCCAGGCAGAAAGAAAACTTAAGGCACCATCAGGGCCTTCAAAGACTTTCCAGTCTGACCTGAGCAGTGTGTGATTATGGTTTGATGTAAGGGATAGGGTCATCAGTGCTATTAACAGGTTCTTCTGTGCTGAATTTTAAATGCAGTGAGTCCTCTGAGCCTTGTTCTGCAGCAGGTGGGGGCAGGGAGTGATGACGATCCCTGGTGGACAGAGGGGAGCTGACTGCCTGGCAGAGTGAGGCAGGACACAGGAGAAGCAGCAGAACCTGGTGCACGCACACCCCAGGCCGAGTCAAAAGAACCCTGGCATGTGGGTGCAGATTTGAGGGGCTACAGGGAAACAAGGAAGAGATTTTTCTAGGCGGCTGTTTGCAGAGCCAGCAGATATTTATTGAGTGGTCACTATTCTGAGTCCTTTACATGCACGAACTCACTTAATCCCCAATTTAAAGGTGAAAAGTCTGGGCCAAAAGAGATAAGGCCCAAGGTCACGGAGCTAGTAACGGTCAGAGCGAGAATTTGAACCCAGGCAGTGTGAGTACAGAGTCTATCTTAACCACTAAACCAAACTAAGTCTCAAAAGAGCATTTGTAGGATGAAAGAAAAAAAAAGACCCCCTCGGTGATGAATCAGGAATTCTAGTCTCAGTGCTGCTACTAGCTAAGTGACCTTGAGTGAGTCACCTCTCTGGGCCTCAGTTTCCTCATTTGTAAATCAAAGATAGTGGACTAAATGCCTCCAGGTGCCTTTTAGCTTCCAGAGTCCCTAAATCGAGGGAAAGCTGAAGCAGGAAATGTAACTGTGACTCTTCTGGGTTTAAACCAGTGAACAGTAAAGATGGACATCTCTAGCTCCCAGTTCATTGCCACACTCGCAACACCGCCATCGGTTCATGAGAATTTTCTGGGCACCTATATGTGTCTGAGGAGCTAGGGTTGCCAGATAAAATACAAGAACTGCAAGGCTGCTCCATCCCACCTGCCCAATTAAATTTGAATTTCAGATAAACATCAAAAAGCTATTTTAGTATAAGCATGCCCCATGCAATATTTGGGACATACTTAAACTAAAATAGTTGTTTTGAAACAACTGAAATTCTAAATTAACTAAGAATCCTGTATTTTTATTTGCTAAATCTGGCAACCCTCCTGGACCTTAATCATGTTTTAATTCTGCCACATTGCAAACTGGGTTGAGTCCAAGCCAAATAAGAAGAGGACTGTGACTTCTTAGCCTGGAGGGAGAGAGTGCTGCCTGTTGGCTCTTCATGTGCAAGAAGAGTCCTTCAGGCAGCAGTAGGCTGGATCTGGCCAGTGGCAGCTTATGAGGGTGACTGTTAAAAATTCAGAAATTTTGCTAGTGGTAGCTTGAAATTGGCCAGGGTGGGAGTATTTATACCACAGAAACTGGCAGATGCTAGACATCAGAACTTCTCTTTGTGGAGGAGGTAGCTGGTTTGCCAGGACACCTCTACCTCCACACGGCACCCAAGTAGGTTTCTAAGCTACTTAGAGGGAAATGCCCAGCTGCAGAGAGTTCAGGCCTTCTCCTGCAACTACTCGAGTGGTGAACGGCTCTCTGGGAGGGCAATAGAAACCCAGACCTTTCACCTCTGGGATGACAGTTCATGTGACTAATGTCGTGTGACTCGGATGAGTGTAGGCCTCTCAGAGCACACCCCAGAGAACAAGAATCCAGGTTGCAACTGGTGTGAATTTAGCCACCCCTTGGTTTCTTGGCCGAGACCACCCCAGAAGGCAAAAACCAAATAAACAAAACAAAAATGGGTGTGGGAGAGAGAAGGGAAGAGAACTATTCATCTGAGCTCCATGGACTGCCTGTCGAGTGCTCTATTGAAAGCACTGTGCTGGGTGCTCTCTCTCTTATCTCCTGTGCCCGCCTCACAGTGTGAGGATTAAATGAGTCAGTACATGCACAGGGATCAGAGCAGTGCAGTGTGTGCCTGCTGTTGTCATCATCATTGCTGGTCTTCAGTTGCCCACGACAGCCTCAGTGGAGACGGGACCCTCCCTTGAGGGTTAAAGACCTTCCGAGTGGGATTGAGCCAGGGATGATGGGCTGATGTGCTGCCACCCCCCACCCAACACATCTGGGTGACATTTGGTTGAAACGCACTTGGAGAGCTCTTTTGAAGCATTAAAGTCCCAAATGGGCAGCCTCTGCGTGCGCCAAGGGTGGGACACAGCTCTACATTCACTTGACCTTGGGATAAAATGAGGAGGAGGGGAAGAGAGGGAGCACGGCATTCACCTCCTCATCCCAGGTATCTCCCTAGGTTATGGGAGAGCTTAGCCTCCCACAGCCTGGAGCCAGTTACATCTGCACACAGCCTGGATTTTCTGGTCCTGATTTCACAGATTCTGTCCAATTAATACTTTCAGGCTTGTCAAATCAATGGTTTGTCAAAGGATTTCCTGGCTTGGAAAATGTGGTCTCTGTTGGATCATCGGCTAAAGACCACACTGGACCCGCCTTTTGACTCTTCAAAGATGTTCCGCCCTGCTTTGGTCTATTTTGGGGGTGGCTAGCTGGTGTTTCTCAGAAGCACACAAGATGAATGAAAACTAGGAGTTTGCTGAAGGACTAGAGGTATATAACAGGAGGAGGACGTGCCTGAGGTGGAAACAGAGTCTTGTCCTGTGGTTAATCCACTGGCAAAACCGCACAGGAATTTGGGATTCCCGAGGGAACAATTTCCTTTTACAAACGCCTCTAGTCTTAGGGTCTCGGGACAACGCATCCGTCCACCCCGTTGACGTCATCGAAGTCTAGAAAGCCTTTACTCAGGTTGCTGTGGCCAAAGCGGTGAGGAGAACACGGACCAGAAACAAGAGAGCTGGCACCTGCCCCCAGGCACGTCCCCTCCCTGGGCCTCAGCTCCCCCCTCTGTAAACCGGCAAAGAGGCAAGTGGGGGTGTCAAGATAAGTGGTTTCAAACCGCACTCCAGGTCCCCACGAGGAGCCCAGGGCAAGGGGCCAGAGCGGGCAGTGGCTACAGCAGCAGGTCCCCCATACCTGTTCCACTGATGGGCTTCAGCAGGGGACGGTGTCGCAGAAAGGGCCCCTCTGCAGATTCAGGGGTCTCTGAAGCCCTTCTGGTTCAAACTGCACAAGACTCTGGGATCTGCCCCTTACAAGACGCCCTTCCTCCTTTCTGCTTTCTCCCCCCACCCCCACACTTGTGTCTGGCATCAAAGTTTCCATGCCTCTGATCACAGTTGAAAAGGGAGAGGCAGCGAGTGCACTTCAAGCAACAAAACACCCGTTTTTTGTTCAGAATGGGGGAGGATGTCAGAAAGAGAAGGTCCCTGAGCTCTAAGGGAACACCCTTAGGGAAGCAGCAGGGACAGCAGCCACCTGGGCAGACGACAATGGAGAGCAAGTCTTTGCCCATCACTGGCCTGGCTGGGTTGGAAATGGTCAGACAAGAGAGGCCTAACCTGCATTCGCAAAGCATCGGTTAACGTCGGTGTTGTCTCCGAGAGCACCCATGCTCCTCTCCTTCAGAGCCCCACCTCTTCCTTAATCTGGAATCAGCTTATGAGCAGCCCCTTCAAGTCCCCTGAGTGGAATGTGGGCAAAAACTCAACTCGACAAACATATATTGAACCTACTGTGGGCCAGGGCCCGCGCCAAGGCGCAAGGACACAGGCACGACGTGTTAGCAGCTCACAGATTCTAGGAACGGGTTGGAGGAGATGCAGCACAACGCTGCAAAGTGGATGGGATGTGTTCCCGAGACTCAATGAGAAACACATAGACTTGAGTCGGGATCATTCATTCAATCCACTTTTGAGGGGCTCCGGGGTCGGGAGAGGACAGCAACGACAGCTGCCCAAGGAGCTCCTGGACAGGTGGAGACAGACGTGCCCGCCCATCAGGCCAAGCACAAGGCGGTCAGGGGCGCAAGAA